CCCTAAACCCCAAAACCCCAGAAACAGTAAGCCCTAACTCCTACACCCACCCTTACTCGTAGAACCCCGAGAGGCTCTCGGCACCCGGTTTTCCATGGACTTCTTGGGGAACTTGCCCAGACTGCTGTCAGTGGCCTCGCAGAGAAGCTCCCGTTTAGGGGTTTAGGCCTTTTCGGGGTTTACGGGTTTAGGGNNNTTTAGGGGTTCAGGGTTTGGGGGTTTCGGGTTTTGGGGTTTAGGGTTCGGGGGTTTCGGGTTTTGGGGTTTATGTTTTTGGGTGTAGGGGTGGGGGGTTATAGGGTTTAGTGAGCCGCAAAACCTCAAGCCCCAACCCGAAACCCGTCCTAGACCCCAACAGTATCCGAAAGCATGCGCTTGCGGGATACTGGGAAACCCACTAGACCTCGAGCCACCCTATAAACCCTAAACCCCTCAATAACCCTAAACCCTAAACCCCTAACCCACTAAACCCTGAACCCTAAACCCCTAACCCACTAAACCCCTAACCCCCTAAACCCTAAATGCAAGCCCCACACCGTTTAGGGTTTAGGGTCTATATCCAGGGGTAGCCATACGGCTGAGTCTGAGGATATTGCTCCTGCACTACCCATAATGAGGAAAAGACCATTATTCCCATAGTTTAGGGTCCTTAATGTAATGCAGGATTTATATCATCAACAGTGTCACATGCCATCAGTGGGAAAGCTTCAACTCTAAAGCCCCGAAGCCCCAAAAGCCCTACCACGCTCAACCCCTACTTGGAGGCAGAGGGGACTTAGCAAGTAGGTTATAAAAGTAGAGCTACAAGTTAAAAGTACCCTAAGTGGAGTTACGCCAAGTATAACCCTACTTACAACTTATAACCGACTTACTGAGACCCCTGCGCCTCTCAGTAGCCTAAAGCGTGCTATGGCCTCCGACTTGGCCGATGTGGTGAGCGCTTTGGCATTTAATGCCAGCTCTGGTTCCAGAAGAGGCGCTGCGTGCCTGCTAGGTTGAGAGTTCCCTCCGGGTCCTGTGCACTGCTATGGGGCATACTTCCCTAAATCATAATAGTAAGTCCTAATCTAGAAATCCTACATTCTACTATGCAGGTACATAGGGCCCTTTGGGTTGTAGTTTTCAGCATTTCTGGCTTTAGAGTTAACGGGCGAGAGTTTAGGGTTTCGGGGTAACGTGGCTGTGATGATCCAACTTCTTTCAATGGAGGTGCCTTGAACCTTTCCGTCCTAAACCCTAAACCTTCAACTTAAATTCATTAAACCCATGTGTTGCAATGCATGCTGCAGAAGGTCTTGAGTCAAGCATGCACCTGTTGGAGCAGGGTCGGTAAGGTGCAGAGGACGTTTACCCTAAAACCCTTAACCCTTTAGTTGCTGCAGGTTCCCTAAACCCTAAACCCTAAACCCTAAAAAAAAAACCTTTAGTTGCTGCAGGTTCAGTTTTGTGTCAGGTCTGCATCAAAGTCCAAGCCTGCTTGACATCCTGGAAAGCTTCTATGCTGATGTAGAGGCCTTAATAATTCGACTGGGGTTTTGGGGGCTCCTTATTACTATTATTATTATTATTAGTAGTATTGTTATTATTATTATTAAGGCCCTTATACGAGACTTGGGCAGTGTGCGTTTTCACGAATGCTCGAGCGCTACTTCCAAATGCAAGGCTTGGCTCAAGGCAACACGTCGAATCCAGACACAGAGACACAGAGGCCTCTTGCGATATGGCAGCCATGCGATTTCTGCTTCTGGCCTTCATGGTCGCAGGTGCTGAGGCAGGAGCCTGCACCCCCGTGGACTCCTGTCCAAAGCTGTCTGACGGCCTCTATTGCCCCGTCAACGACGTCACGGAACATGCCGACATCAATCGGGATGTGAAGCTGGTTAAAGAGTACTTGGCCGAGACCCCCTTGAACTACGCAATGGCCAAGCAGGTGTACACCGAAGGCAACTTCTCTTCCAAAGGGCTGGGGAACATGCGAACTCTCCAAGACCTGGCGCAGAAGGACATGACCGTTGACGGAAAGTACACCAACGTCCCCTTGCAGAACCGCAAGGGGCCATAAACATCTCCCTCAAACAGACTCAATGTTGTTTTTTTGTGTCTTTTAGAGGGTGCATGATCCGTGCTTTTAAAGATCTGCACCCCCGAGACGCAAGGTTTTCTACAGCGGTGCCGTCAGCTTGTACGGCTCAACGAATGCCGTGTGGCATGACTACATTATCGCGTGTTTGGACGGGACAGGTATTTGCGAGGGCAAGACGGACTCTTTTCGGCAGTACGTCATCAACAAGGGACTCATTGGAGTTGTGACGGCCTACGCCACCTACGAGTTCGGTGCAGCTGTTTGGAAAGGTGAAAATGGAGAGACGGCGGACACTCAAGCAGCCTATGCTTGGGACGAAGGTGCTGCTTTCTACATCGGCAATATCGATCCAGTAGTCGGCGACGGCTACACGGGTTCCGCCCCCGGCAACCTCTACTCGCCCTACGAGTTCAACTGGAAGCGCGACATCGACTTCCCCGATGGCACCTCGACACACACAGAGGCCGTGCCGATTCTCAACTACGGCCTCATCAACCTGCGTGGAGATGCCTACACTGCTACCAGTGTGAAAGCAGCAGAGTTAGCCATGTACAAGATCTTCTCCATTGCTGCCATCCGAAGTGCTATCAAGTACGCCTGGAAGGCCTACAATGGCGGCACCATGGAGCCAAAGTATCTCGCCGAGGGCTGGGCCTACTGGAGGAGTGCCTCCGGTTACATGTCCACCTTCAATGCCACCACGGTGCAGGCGGTTGATGAGCTCTTTGACCTAAACTTGACAACTGTACCGGAGAGCACGGCCTGCTCCGTCAAGACGCTGGTGGAGTCTTTGTGCTTTGGACAAAACAAAGTAGGAGGTTCAGGGGTTCATGGTTTAGGTTTTGGGTTTAGGCGCCAAGAACCTTGTTTTTTGCGCTTTGTGGTCTGTGTGGCTGTCGTTTCTTGCAGTGCGTCCGCGTCTCTGTATCAACTGCCTGTGCAGCTCGCCCGACATGCAGCGCACCCTGCATACCAGAGTCCCCTTTGCTTGATGTTTGAACTTCCGAGCTTGCTCGTAGCAAGATGGCAGTTTCATTCAGGTATCCACACCTCGGCATCACCTGCGCCATGGTGGGCACCTGGAAAGACGCACCAGCTGGCAGCTGCATGGCCTCCGCATGTGGCTCACCTCTCGAATATTTTGTGTTCGCTTGTAGCTGAATATACGTCTGCAGGTCACCCTAAACCATAAACCCTGAACCCCTATACCCTAAAGCTCCTAAACCCTAAGCCTTAAACCATGGGGGGGGGCAGAGCGAGGTAGTGACACGGGCAACACGGCCACACTGCTGAGCGGCTCAACGGCGTATCCAGACATGTGCAAGGCCCCGCTTAGACGCTGCTGTTTTCCAGGGTTTGGGGTTTAGGGTTTAGGGTTTGGGGTTTAGGGGTTTAGGGGTTTAAGGGTTTAGGGTTTGGGGTGTAGGGGTTTTGTGTTTTGGGTTCTTGGTTTAGGGCAGTTCAGCACACGTGTTGTGACCCTTCCTTTCAGGGTGTCCTCGGGCTACCCGCCTGTCACGCGCGACTGTCAGGCAGTGCCCACGACAACGACCGCCGCTTCAAGCGAAACTTCTGTGGCTCCGTCCCTGTTCCTGTCCGCTGCCTTAAGTGCCTCCTTGACTTGCCTCTGTTTTTTTGGGATCTGAGTTCTGAGAGGCAAAGCAGGGTTCCTGACCATCACGTCGAATTGGGAAGATAGGATCAGATAGGAGCATCATTCACTTCGTACTCAGATCCACGTAGCGAGAGACGGTGTGAAATCGCCAGCTCTCCATTTGTGCACCACGACATGCTGTGCCGAGGGCGCAAAGGTCTTTTCATCTTGGCGCCCTTTGGTCTCTTTTTGTAAAGTGCTGGAAAGCTGCTGCTGCCTGCTCACCTGTCGTTAGGCAAACAGTCCCATCCAGAAAGGCTTGGTGCCTTCAGATCCACTGCTGAGGGTTTGCCCAAAGTTCCGCGATTAGTTGTTTCCATAAATTGCCGCAACTTCCTGAAACAGCTGTTATTTGAGAGACATGCAAACGATGAAAAACGATGGTTGTGCCAGCAGCAGAGGCGCCAGTTACTATGCCGTGGAGGTCATGTAATCTTCGCGCCTTTTAATTCCAGATTTGTAAGATGCTGGAAGGTTGCTGCAGGCAAGTGGGCAAAACGTCTGCTCCAGTTTTGTCAGGCAAACCTTCCGGCCCAGACAGGCCTAGTGTCCTACAGGCTTGAGATTTGTAATTACCATGTTCCCGGCGAATCATTGTGCTGGCGTCGCAAATGGAAAAAGCGCTAGCAGAAGGGCTGCAGAATGCAGATGTGCCTTAAGATTTTGCCTACTTCCGTAGTGCAGAGCAACATTGTCAGACCTCTGCATCTCCCACCACCACCACCACCACCACCACCACCAACAACAACCACAACAGCAACGACAACAACAGGAATCACCGCAACAGTAAGTGCAACAACACCACAATAACAGCAACGGCACCAGGAACAGCAACAGCAACAGCAACAGCAGCAGCAGCAGCAGCAGCAGCAGCAGCAGCAGCAGCAGCAGCAGCAGCAGCAGCAGCAGCAGCAGCAGCAGCAGCAACCGCTAAAGCAACAGCACCAGCAACAGCAACGGAAACAGCACCAACAAGCAGCAACGGCTACGACAGCAGCAACGCAACGTAACGGCATCGGCAACACAACCACAGCGATAATGACAACCACAACCACAACCACAGCAACAACAGCAATAACAGGAATAACAGCAGCAACAATAAAGTAATAGTAGTCACGATCGTAGGATTGACAAGATTGTTGTCAACAGTCTTAGGCTAATACTTTGGGCAGTAGCATTTACCGCCATAGTAGGGACAGCGGTTTAGTGAAACAGCAACGGCTATGAATAATAACGGCAGTCATACCAGCAATAGAGAGAACAACAATAGTAATCATAAAGCAGCGATTGCGGCTTTTGCATTGCAGCTTTGAGTTTTGCTCGCAGCCATTCCCATAGCCTGCACCCTACACATTTTGTTGGCCGCGGGGTATCTCTGATGCATTCTGCTCTCTTGTGCTAGCTTGCGCACTAAAACCAACACTTACAGGTGTATCAAACGGCTTGAAAGGTGAGGAACAAAACATGGGGCCGTCAATACAAGGTAAATGTAATATTAGGCCTCGCCCCTTGTCTCACACAGAAGTGGTGAATGTCTGGGCTATCGCTTTAAGGTCTGAACTGTCTGAACTTTCTTGATTGGTTTTTCCCACGAACTCTAAGCCACGGCATTCCGATGTTCGGCATTCCGATGTTCGGCATTCCGATATGCAAGTTCGAGGATCAGGCGTTTAAGCCCTCGAATTTTAAACCCAAAGCCTAGCGGCCTAGCCCACAACCCTGACCACGATAAGCCTCATCCGTCAATCCTGAAGCCGAAGTCGTAACCACCCGATTCCAATCGTGGACGAATCAAATCATTTCCAATATGATTATTTGCCCCAGTGGCCTGAATAGTTGCATTCGTTTCTGTCAGGGCTTTCCAAAACAGTCATACTTTAATACAGCCAATAAAGCCCCCAAAACCTTGTTCGAATAGATGGGGCCCCTATGTTGCTTATATCACTGAAATCTCCGGGAGGCCCATGGCAGATAGCTTTGGACTGCCTCAACAGTTTGCCCGCCTCCACACCGAAGGTGGCTAGAGCCTGGAAAATTTAGGGGCTGCCTTCGGGGTTACTCAGAAATTGCTTTGTGTAGGGACTCCTGTATAGAGGCTCTGCAAGGGCTGTGGGCATTATGGCTTTTCAGGATTTGGTTGAGTGGAGCTCGGGTTTATTTATGTCTCATTAGCTCTAGGGCTTGGTAGATTTTTCCTATCTGCTGTTGTGTACTGATAGAAGCACCCTAAACCCCCTAAACCCTAGACCCTTAACCCTAAACCCTAAACCCTATACCCTAAACCCCAGTCTATGAGCATCCAGCGAACTCTGAAAGCGGGTGGAGAAGCCGGGGGTCAAGACAGGACCCCTGCGCTGGAGGAACCTACTTTGGGGTTTAGGGTTTAGGGTTTAGGGTTTAAGGTTTAGGTTTTAGGGTTTAGGGGTTTAGGGTTTAGGGTTTAGGGGTTTAGGGTTCAGGGAGGAACTTGTCTAGTAGCTTGAAAATCAGTATGTAATATTGGTCCCAAGGATCCCTTATCATATTTTTGGTAGAATGTACACCCAAATACCCTATTCTTCTTCCCGTGCTTCTATATCTTTTTTCAACAGCCTTTGGTTACAGGGCTTCCTTATTATCCCGAGGCCCTAAACCGCAAACGGCGGTGTCAAGACATCACATATCTCAAATTCACCGATCTTCAAAGCTACAGGATCAGAGGTCTGTTCTGTACTTGTCTCAACCAGTTGGCAGTGCGCAGGTGGATGTGGTCAGCTTCAGTTCAGGGATCAGTGCATGTGGGCGGCATGGGGAGTGGCCGGCAGCACTGCAATTATTTCGGGAGATGGCGGCCCGTGCGATTCTTCCGGATGCAGTCAGTTTCAATGCTGAGATCAATGCATGCGGCCATGGCAAACAATGGATCCCTGGGGTGCAGCTGCTCGCAGATATTCCTAGAGCCGCATTGCAGCCAGACATCGTCAGCTGCTGTGCCAGCATCAGCGCCAGTGAGAAAGCTGGCATGTGGAGGACTGCGTGCCAACTGTTGCACGGGCTTCCGAATGCCAGGGTACCGTTGAATACTATCACGGCTAATGCAACCATCAGCGCATGTGAAAAGGGCTTCCGGTGGCCAACGGCCCTGGAACTTCTTTCCGTGATGCGCTGGGACGTAGTTCCGACAGACGCCATTAGTTTCAACGCTTCCATCATCTCCTGTGGTAGTCTTCAGCACTGGGATCTCGGACTGTGCCTGTTGTCGGAGATGTTTGCAGCTCGAGCGACGCCAAGAGTTTCCACCTTCAATGACACTGGGCTGATTTCAGAACCTGCATGCTTCGACTGTTAGCGAGTCAAGAAGCGATCACCATCTCCATTATCACCATCATAGCTGTCGCTACCACCATCACCACGACCATCTTCATCCTCCTCGTGGCAATGGCAGAACCTATTTGTTGTCACCACAATGATTTGGGTACTGTTCCCACTCTGCAACAGTTAGATAAAAGATGTACAGTTATGACATAGTTAGATCTAGACCTGCATACGACCCCTATGATCGACTGTCAGGGTTTAGGGTTTAGGGTTTAGGGTTTAGAGTTTAGGGTGGAGGCAGTAACCAAAGAATGATGGCCGAACCGCGAAGCCTTCGACCCTGAGGCCAGCGCCAGTGCCTCCGAGAGGGCTGGGCAATGGCAGATCGCCATGCAGCTGACTTCAGCCATGTTCCTAGGTAGTATTAATGTAGGCGCCTTAATAATTAGAACAGGGATTTGGGGCCCCATATACTATAATTCTAATAAGGAGCCCCCAATGTTTCTATGGTAATCATTTAGGCCCCTACACCAAGGAGATCCCCTTAAAGGGGACCCTTCTGAACCCTACTTGTGGCTCTGTTTAACGGGACCTTATTGAGAGGGTCTACGTCCCCCAAGGGTCCCCAGTCCCCATAATCCTAACTCCCACATGTTTTCTGGCTCCAAGCCGCTCCAAAGTCTAAGGGGATGCAGGGTTTAAGGTTTTAGGGCTTTGGGGTTATTTAGTTTTTAGGCTTTAGGGGTGTAGGGTTCAGGGTTTAAGGGATACTCAGACCCATTCTGTTTTGTTCTGCAGCGTCCATCCTGTAAACTTTCGGCATCACCCCATGGGTCAGACAGCTCCAAGTCTTCTTGTAGAGGGTGGCTCTTGGCATCCTTATAAGTCACTGTGACTCTGAAAAATTTTAGGTGGCCGTTCGTTTCCGTGGCTATTAAAGCCCTGCTTTAGTGCAGAACCCTTATGGAAGGCGTATAGAACCCTTGCAGAACCTTTATCATTTCAAAGCTTTACAGACGAATCTTAATAGAGAGAATCGACTTAGAAAGCACGTATAGAACCTCACATGGAATTTTAGAACCCTAAACCCTAAACCCTAAACCCTAAACCCTAAACCCTAAACCCCTAAACCCTAAACCCTAAACCCTAAACCCTAATAGACCAAAGGCCAGGGTTTCGTCTCCAACCCTCTGTGATCACCTTCAGCGCTTGCATCAGTGCCTGTGACAAGGCAGGGTTCAGGGTTTACTGCAGGGCCTAAACCCTAAACCCAAAGACCTAAACCCTAAACCCTAAACCCTAAACCCTAGCCCTAAACCCTAGCCCTAAACCGTAAACCCTAGCCTTAAACCCTCAACCCTAAACCCTAAATTGCAGGGTTCAGGGTTTACTGTAGGGATTTGGTGGTTTCTGGGGTTTAAGGATTGAGGGTTTCGGGTTTCGGATCCCAGGCTTCCGGGTTTAGGGCTTAGGGGTTTTGGGGTTTAAGGTTTCGGGGTTCGGGTTTAAGGTTTCGGGGTTTCGGGTTTCGGGTTTAGGGTTAGGGTTAAATAGGTTTTGCGGTTTAGGGTTTAGGGTTCGAGGGTTCTGGGTTTTACGGGTGTATGGGGTTTAGAGATTTGGGGTTTGGGGTTCACAGGTTTCGCGTTTGATCCTACACCAGCTCAGCCCTGGGCTTTCGTTCAGGGTTCCCTTAAG